TGATTTTATTTATTTTTAATTATGTATGTATGTATGTATGTATGTATGTATGTATGTACATGGGAGAGTAGGTACCCATGGAGGCCAGAAGGGGTGATGGACACGCTGGAGTGATGAGCAATTTTCAGTCGCTCAATGTGGGTCCTGGGAGCAGAATTCTGGTTCTCTGCAAAGCCGTATACACTCTTAACCACGGAGCCATTTCCAGCCTTCAACCTTCTTTTCTTTTCTGAAGGGTCTCTCAGGTGGTGTACCCTGGCTGGTCATTGAGCCTCAGGGATCCACCGCCCCCTCCTCTGTAGCACACGCCCCCACACCTGAGCACTTGTTCTGGGCATTGAATCCAGGTTCTTACACTTGCAAGGCAAGCATTTACCTACTAGACTGTCTCTCCAGCATGTGTAACTGTTTTAGTGTCCGTTTCTCTCGTCTCTGTGTTTGAAAATTACCCAAACTAGAACTAGGGTTAGTGACGGCTGGAAAGAGTAAGCTTTTAAGTCCGGCTAGAATGTTGATCCCTTTTTAATAGGCAAGCAGCTTGTGGGAGGTCGGGGAGGGAGTGGAAATACATGCAGAGATAGCTACCCTGGTAGGGAGCTCAGTTTTGTACCAATTTGCCTGGAGATGGCAGTGTGTCAGCAGATTTGGTTGTGTGGCCCCCGTTGATAGCACGTGCTGATCTGTGGCTCTGTGTGAGATGAACCAGAACCTTGCTGCCTTTGCTCTGGAATCCATCTGTGCTTGAACCTGACAGCTTCTCTGCAGAGCTCTGGTCAGGATTCGGGGGAGAGGGTGCACACCAGGGGCTTCATGGGAACTTCTAGAAGATGCTACCGTGCTAATTCTCTTGTCCCCCGTGACCTTACCCAGTGCTTCCATGGTGAAGTCAAAACTTTCTGCAGTGCCCAGGGAGGGTGAGGTTATGCCAGAGTATAGCAGCATTTTCCTTTATAAACTTTAGGTGCACGTGCTCAGTGAAGGTCCTGCCAACCTCCTGGATTGTTAAGAAATAGCCAAGGCCGTTAACCTGAACTATAAGCCTGTCATTCTAAGGGGAAGGTGAGGCTGGGTCTGGCTGGGATGAGGCTGTGCTGGGGAGGACTGGAATGGAGTAGAGACAGAATTTCTGCAGGACCCCTCACCCCTCCTCGTCTTGTGGATAGGTAGGACGAGCATACACTGGTAGCTTTCTGACACCTTCATTAGGCTTCTGAGTCTAGAGGGGTGGGCACGGAAGGTGGAGGGGTGAAGTGGGTGGTGGTGGTGGTGGTGGTGGTGGTGGTGGTGTGTGTGTGTGTGTGTGTGTGTGTGTGTGTGTGTGTGTGTGTGTTTTCTGCTTGGAGACCAGAGCCCAGGAAAGAATAATAGCAGACGAAGGTGGACTGGATCCTAAGGGGAGAGAACGCTGGGTACCAGACGGACGAGTGCAGGGGCTTGAGATGAAGCCAGGCGGGAAGGGAAGGAGGGTGTAAGCGGCTAGAGTGAGGGCAGTAGGTGGGCTGGTTTCTGTTTGGTGCCTGGGATTTTAGGAAGCAAGATACTCTGGTTTGTGGTCACACAGTGCGCAAGCAGAGGATGTGGGAAAGTCTTACAGCTTAGTAACCAGTGACTGGCTGGCTAGCTATGACCTTGGCCAGAGAGTATGCTAGGTAAGAGACTGGGAGAAAATTTAGGATCAGTGTATGTCATTTCTGTCTCTGCTGCCTTCTTACCCAGTTTGGAAATAAGTATTTTCCTTTTTTTTTGGTTTTTTGAGACAGGGTTTCTCTGTAGCTTTGGAGGCTGTCCTGGAACTCACTTTATAGACTAGGCTGGCCTCGAACTCACAGAGATCCGCCTGCCTCTGCCTCCCGAGTGCTGGGATTAAAGGCGTGCACCACCAACGCCCGGCAGAAATAAGTATTTTTCTTTACTTTCTTCAGGAACCCTCTTTTTCACGAGTATAGGGTGCCCAGGTGCTGTTCAGCAAGCAGTGACCAGCCAGGAAGGTTGGATGCTGGGTGGAAAGGCCCATGTAGTCCTTTTATTGCCCCTTTGGTTTTCATGGAAGTGGAATGGCAAGCCTTTAGAGTCCAGGAATATTGCCAGAGCCCCAAGGAAAACCCCCACTACTGGGCCAACCGAGTTTCTGGTTTGCCTGGAGGTGCTGAGAATTCACCCTTCCTACAGGTTCTCAGGTGGAGATCGTACACTTAAAAACACATTCCCTCAGCTAATGATGGGATGCCAGGCTGTCTCAGCTATGGAGACTGGCCTTCCAGAGCCTTTGAGAATGATCTGGGCTTGATCTGGCTTGCGAGACTGGAGGGGCTTGGGGGTAGGGGTGCGGGGGCAGGCAGTCTTGGCCATTGACCAAGCAGTGCAGCCAAAGGCCCTTGGGGGTATGTTTTACTGCAGAGCCTGAGTACATGTTTCTTAAATTGCCTACCTGCTGCAGCAGGATGGTTGAGCTGACTTGTCTTAGCCTGAATTTTGGGGTAGTCTCTTCTCTAACTCTACTTGCAGAATTCTGAGGTCTGCATAAGTTACTGTTGAGTCTGAAGCCAACACAAAGAACTTTTGTCCATTAGTCCAAAGTGGTTCTGTTTTCACCTGGACGTCTGTGAGAGCCCATTGTTTAATCTCCTGCTCCTCTTCTGTCTGCCTCCTGCCCACTCTCCACGATGCAGTCAGGTAGACATCGTAAAAACACTCGAATGCCAGGCCTAGTAGCTCATGTCCATTGCTGGTTGAGGCAGGAGGGTTGCCAGGAATTCTAGGCTAGCCTAGGCTACATAGTTAGTTCCCAACCAACCTGGACTATAACATGAGACTGTAAATAAACAAATCAAAGAAAGAAAAATACATGCTTTAGGTATAGCTCAAAGGCAGAACACTTGCCTAGCATGCTTGAGACTGAGTTTGATTCCCACCACAATGGAACCGATGATTTCTTGAATCCTTCAAGGCCCATGTTGATAGCCTGAAATCCTCTCCCCGTGTGACCTATTGTGGACCTAGCCACGGGGACTTCAAATTCTAGATGCTCCATCTTCGCTGAGTCTCCAGGACGGGACTCAGACTGCCCTACCTCCTGCCTCAGCTTACTTTACATGTTCTGGGTGCTGAACTTACTTCTGGGGAGCCCTTCTGAGCTCTGGCATCAGAAGTGAGTTCCAGGACAGCCAAAGCTGTTACACAGGAAAACCTGTCTCTAAAACAAGACAAAACCAACTCATGGCCTGGGAGTGTAGTTCACTGGTAGAGTGCTAACATGCATGGAGCTCTAGGTTAGGGCCTTAGCATTACATAAGAAAACAAAACCAGACTCTGCTCAGATATCCTGTGCTCCTCAAATTCCCGGTGTGACTCAGACTCTGCCAGTTAGATGTGCTCATCACATATGTAACGGTTTTGTGGGAAGACGCTGGGTTTTCTCTTCCATAGGATAGACTAGAGGACATCTGTTTCGCTGGAATGGTTCCCTGGCAGGGATGTCTCAATGCCATAGCTACCAGATGCCCGAGTAGCAGCCCCTTGCAGTATAGTTCAGCAACACGATCTCAGGAGTAGGGCCTGGGAGCTCAGCTTAGAGCCAGTTTCTTCTGTTCTGATGAGTCTCTGGGCTGTTTAATAGCCTGTGTGGAATCTCTCTTGGCTCGGTTTGGCCAGGTAGCCTTTGAAGTGTCCATTACCCTTGGCTTTGCCATCCTGCTAAGTTTCTTGTCCAGGACTTACCTTCCCTGTTGTGTGAGGGAAAATACCTGCTGTCATTTGCATCCCAGGGACTCACATTTTTGGTCATGGGCAGGAAGTGACCATTTCTTGAATGGATGAACTCTGAGACTAAGGTAGGTCTTTGTTGTCCTTGCTTTTTATTTCTTTATTTATTGAGATAATATCACATGCCAGGCTTGCTATGTAGCTGAAGTCGGGCTTGAACCCCTTATTTTTCTTCTCTTTCAAGAGCTGGCATATGCTGGGCTGGAACTGTTTTAGGTTTGGTAAATATAAACTAGCTCTTAGTTTATTTAATGTACATGAAGTACCCGGTGTGACGATGCCTACTCACAATCCCAGCACTTACTTAGTAGGACGAGGCAAGAGGATTGCCATGAGTTCAAGGCTAGCCTGGGCTGCATGTTAAGTACCAGACCTGCTAGGGTTACATAACATAGCAAAACCCATTCTGAAAAATAAAAAACTAAACAAATGTGTTTGTAATTTGTGCTGGTGTGTGTGTGTTTATGATAAGAGAATGGTTTAGAGGAAGTAATAACAGATGGTTCTGACGGCTGACTTCACGTGATCTGTGGGGACATCTAGGGACATAGAATGTCTGTAGAAGGGGGGTATTGGGCTGTAGGGACCTTGTAGACACTGGTAAGCTGGATGTTAAACTTCTCATCTTTGATCAGAAATTCTGTGTCTAGCCTTTGTGTCCAGCACCATGCCAGGCTCATCTTGACAAAGGGATACTAGATGACCCTCTTTGCCTTTAAGGAACAAAAGTCTAGTTACGCAGGCTTGTTAGAAGACCAAGGAATACAGTGTCCAAAATAGTTGGGGAGCTAACAGTGGGACGTGACCCCCTGGAAGAGGCAGTAATTGAGATGTTTGTGAGAAAAAGCCTTTGTGATTTAGTTACTAGGCCTTGCTTTCTATTTGGCCTTGAATAACAAGCCGGAAGCCTTTACTTAAGCAGGTGATAGATTGAGTGAGCACTGCTGTTACTTAGGCCACGTGGAGGACACTGTGGTCTGGTAAACAGTAGTGGACAACAGACCACACTTTTGCAATCGGATGTCCGGGAACTGGCGATGGGAATAGGAGCAACTTTCCCCCAGGCTTTGGCAGGAAGTGGTGGCTGGTGCCCCTGGACCCCTTCCCTGTCTCCCCCTGCCTGAAGACATTTTGGAAGTTCTGGCTTTGTTTGACCCAGGTTTCTGGTTGCCCCTGAGCTCTGACGTGTGCTGTTCCCTCCCCCGTCCTGGCTCTAACACTGGGCTTGGCTGTCATTAAACTCATTCCAGGCTCAGCTCAGGGCTAAATACGCCTTCCTGTTCTAGTCCATGCCGGCTGCTCCAGCCCCTGATCACCAATCTCTGGCCGTATAACCCCCTCTCTACTGAGCTCACACACAAGGGGAGATCGGCAGATATTTGCGCGGTAAGCCCCTGGCTACTGGTTCTGATTCTGTTCCCTGCCTCTGGGTTACCATTGACCTTTGTTCCTTGCTTCTGGGTTACCATTGACTCTTTTTTTTCTTCCTTTCTTCCCCTTTTAGCAGCCGGAGGTTTCTTGGGGTGAATGAGTGGACCCCTCTTGTGCTGTGTGGAAGTCTCCCACCCTGGGTGGCCTTTGGCTTGTGGTAGCTTGGGGCTCGGGTCCTAGAACAGGAACTAAGGAAGGAACTGTGCCGGGGTTGGGTTGCAGGGAATGGAATAGTACAGCCATTGAGTGCCTGGACTGGGTGAGTAAGACTGTGTTCAAGCTGTACTGTTCATCACCTCCTTCCTTGGGTGAAGGCCTAGGATAGCTTATCTTGGGTGTGTGTGGCCTCTGGACCATGCTCATTCAGTGAATGGATAGGCACCGAGACAGGCTAGTTTACTTCTTTTTTACTTCTGTCTCACAGGATCTCCCTTGGTTACCTAGGCTGCCCTTGAATTCGAAGCAATCCCCCTGCTTCAGTTTGCTGACGTCTGGGATTACAGGTGTGTACTACCGCAGTTACCACCACCCTTCCCCTTTCCTTTTTTGTGGTACTGGCGGGGTGGGGGTGGGGGGGTGTCTGTTTTGGGGAAGTGGAGGTGTGACAGAATCTCTTGTAGCCCAAGCTTAGCCTCCAGGTAGGATGTGATTAAGGCTGGCCCTAGACTCCTGACCTTCCTGCCTCTGCCTCCCAAATGCTTGGAATTACAGGCATGAACACTTCACCCGTGTCTATGACAGGTTCCCACTGAGTTGCTTAGGCTGTCTTTGAACGTACTCGGTAGCCCAAGCAGTGCTTGAACATAAGATCCTCCTGCCTCAGGTCACTTGAGTGTCTGGGATCGAAGAGCTGCACCACTATAGTTTTCCTTGAAGGTCTCTGAACTCCAGAGACAATATTTACCTGAATGTAGGGCTTCGAGCCTGCTGCTTGGGCTGAGGTTGTAGCCTGTCGGTGGGTAGAGAGCATTTGTCTGGCATGTGTGAGGCCCTCGACTCCATAAAGGGAAATGGAAAAGAGAATAATCACTAACTTTCTAATTTTGGATACTGAGACTTACACAGGTGGCTGTATCACTGTTAGTTTGGCCATAAATATGGAGGATATGAAAGCGAAGTGTTTGTAGAAGAATACTTGTAATCAGAGGTGTCGGTGAATGTTTCTGTAGGGCTCCATGTTTTATGTTGTGCTCGGAAAATTTGGACTGGGATGTAGCTTCCTTACTATGCTCAGAGCCCCAGCACTTGGCAGGCACAGGTGGACTGATCTCTGCGAGTTCAAGGACAGCCAGGGCTATGTAGAGGAACTCTGTCTCCAACAAACAAACAAAAAAATATACATTGTCAATATTCCAAGTATTCTTCCAGGCATAGTCATACACAAATGGATATTGAGAAATAGATAAAAACACCGGCATGGAAAACTTTGTATTTCTTTGACTGCAACAGAAGAAAAAGAAACTGCAGTCAACTAAAGAGAATTATTACATTTTAAAGAAATATGTTACTTGCAAGAAAGAATTTTCTTTCAGCAGAGTTAATTGCTTCTGAGTCATCTGTAATTGCTTGTTTTCATTTTAGACAGTGCCTACTGACTCTTGCTCTATTTCAAAGGGCATTTGCTTTCTTACATTGTCCCCATTCCCTGCCCCCACACCCTGATGATGCTAATTACATTATTGGATTCTTTTTTTTTTTTTTTTAAGGATTTTTTCTACCCCTGGTTTCTGTCTTTGTAAGCATCCCCTTTAAAAAGAAAAGAGATTAATTTTAATTGTATTATTTTTGTATGTGTGTGTGGAAGTCAGAAGGCAGCCTTTTCTCTCTATCTGTTTTGGGGCAGGGACTCCTGGGTCTGCATATTGGGTGCTCCAGGATGAGATGCTGGTTCTCTTATCTCAGCCTCTCTCTTGATATATGAGTGCTGGAGTTACAGGTGGGCCCCACTACAATCAAACTTCTTTCAAAAAACTTTTAAAGATTTATTCCTGTTTTATGTGTATGAGTGTTCTGCCTATATTTGTGTGTTCCATGTGGTGCCTGTGGAGGCTCAAGGATGGCACAGATCCCAGGAACTGAGTTACAGATGATTGTGAGCCACCAAGTGAGTACCGGGAATAACCAGGTCTTCTGTAAGAGTAACGAGTGCCCATAACTAAGGCTGTCTCCCAGCCCCAACAACCAGCTTTGTTACATATGTTCTCTCTCTCTCTCTCTCTCTCTCTCTCTCTCTCTCTCTCTCTCTCTCTCTCTCTCTCTCTCTCTCTGCATCTGTGTATGGGGGGGGCGGGGTAAGGGAATTTCTTCCATGCTTGGGAATCTCTGCTTGTTAGCTTAATGAGATCCTAGCAAGGGATACTACTTTTTTTTTTTAAGTTCCAGGAATTGAACCTAGGACCTCACAACTTGCTAGGTAAGCAATTTACGGCCAAATTCTATTCCCACTTTTAAAAAAAAATTCAAAATAGGTTGACTAAATCAGCCTTGAACAAACTTTGTAGGCCTTGGACTAACTTTGTGGCCCATGGGCTTGCCTTGGATTCATAATCTGCTAAGTAGTTGGGATTACAAATCTGAGCTTCAAGGCTCAACAAGGAATAATATTTTGTTTTGTTTTGTTTCATCCAGAAAGGGTCATGTAGCCCAGACTGGCCTCGAACTCACTATGAAACTAATGCTAGCCTTGAACTCCTGATTTTCCTGCTTCTACTTCCTCAGTGCTGAGATTAGAGATGTGCACCTCGAGCTTTTCTGTCAGAATAGTTTGGATATTCCTGTTTATCTTCTAATGTTATTGTTGCTGTAGGGAAGATGAAAGTAGTCTGAATTAACTCCCATGTAAAAAAAACTCAGGGGCTGGAGAGATGGCTCAGAGGTTAAGAGCACTGGCTGCTCTTCCAGAGGTCCTGAGTCCAACTCCCAGCAAACACATGGTGGCTCACAACAATCTAGAATGAGATCTTCTGGTGTGTAGACATACATGCAGACAGACCATTGTATACATAATAAATAAATCTTTTAAAAAAACGAAACAAAAAAATGTTCAACTCAAGCATGGTGGGAGGCGAGGCAGAAGGACCATGAATCCCAAATCTGCCTGAGCCACACACACACTCACACACTCACACACAGACACACTCACACAGACACACACTCACACACGCACTCGTGCATGCACACACACTCACGCACACTCACACACTCTCATACACACACACACACACTGCCCACCTTATTTATAAGTTTGTGTGTATATGTGTTTGCCTGTGTGAATTTATGCATTATGTGTGTGCAAAAGCCTGAGGAGGCCAAGAGCCTGTGGAGGCCGGAAGAGGGTGTTGGATTCTCTGGCACTGGAGTTACAGATGGCTGTGAGCTGTCCTGTGGATGCTGGGAACCTAACCCCTGTCCTCTGCAAGAGCATCAAGTGTCCCAGCCCCAAACCTTTTTGTTTTTAAAGCCTATGAATCCTGGAAAAGTCTTGTCTTGTCCCTTAGTTCTCTTTCTGAATGAGGTGGTGTCTCTGTCTTGAATGTTTTTGGAGTGCAGTGGGTTATTTCAATCTTCAGGAGTGGTTTTTCCTCTTTTTAGGGAAGTTTTCTGTTGCACGTCTTTGTCCGCCACAACTCAGCTTCATGGCTGTTTTCCATCCATTCACAATAGTTTTCTCAAGCTTCCTTTGTTGATATTCCTAGTTCGAGTTACTGGCAGAATTTGGTTTTCTGACGACTATAGTGCCTCAGGGGTACTATTTGGTTCCTCTTTTCCTGCCCTTCCTTTTGTTGTGAGACGTCATCATCTCCATTCTACATGAGTGTGTCATGTGTATTTGCGCACATGTCTGTGTGTGTGATGCATGTGTGGAGTGTCTATGGAGCCCAGAGGTCAAGGTTGGCCATCCTCCTTAATTGTTCCTCGTGTTATTCTTTGAGGCATGGTTTTCCCCTGAATCTGGAGCTTACCTAGCTGACCAGCAAGCCCAGGGATCCTCAGACTCAGTGCTGAGATTACAAGCACCCACCTCCATGGCTGACTTTTACATGAGTGCTGGAGTTGAGTTATCTGTCCAGGCCCTGTTTTATGATTTGTTCCTTTCTTTCTTTTTTTAAAGGTAGAGTTTAACTATTGAGACCAGGCTGGGCTGAACGCATGGCTCTCTGCCTCAGTCTCCCTCGCAAGTACTATTGTCTGGTAGGCACACTGTTCTGGCAATGAGCAGAACTGTCTCCCTTGAATCCTGTGATGCTAGTATGCTTGGCTCCGCCTGTGTTTGCCTGATGTTCTGTTGTCCCTCAAGTAGAAAAATGGCTTTCTTCCCACCAGGTGTGGTTAATTTGTTTCCTGCTTCCCACAGACATACAGAGGGTGTTCAGATCTGCCCTGTGAGTCTGGAGAATGGAAGTGAGGCAGGGGAGGTGGGTCTGTCCTCTGCTTTGGGATTTTTGTGACTGTTTCCTGTAGTACAGACATGGTTTAGTCTATAATTTTGGTAGAGTACCTCCCATTTCTCTTGGAAGGAGAAGGAGTCTTCCTGGAACTGGCAAATATCCCCAGGTCAGTGTGTGTGTTGGAGCCCTTCTGGCAGAGGGAGGCAGCTATCCGTGTCCCAGTTTCTCCCTCTATCCCTCCAGGAGCTTTCCCCATCACCCTCAATTGGAGAGGACAAAGAATTTGTCTCATGCCGGGTTTGGAGACCTCAGTGAGAAATGGCCTAGTTTCATTCATCATTTGGGTTGTCACAATTGGGGCTGCAGTAGAAGATCTGTGTGCTTTCCAGTCATGGTTAAGGCCATTGGAAGGTGTGTCATTTGGTACTGCAGTGATGTCGGATGTTAGGAGGTCACTCTGGCAGCCATCTTAGAACCAACCAGTTCTAGCTAGCCCACCTGAAATGGAACTTCTGACCCTTCAGGCATCTGTACTCAAAGATAAACAAGATTAGATGAGGTTGAAATTCAGCTTGGTCACCTAGGGAATGCTCCATGTGACAAGGGAGGGGAAGGGTCATGAATGAATACATATACCTTGGTGGCCTCAGAAACACTCATTCCTTGGCCAAGTTTGCATTGGAGCCTGTGTGAGTGTGTCTGTGCTCCAGGAAGTCTGGATACAGAGTAGTGGATCTCCTGGCCAGCTGGTGGGACCAGGGAAGGGAGACTTGGCCTCTCTCCAAATTCCTTCAAGTTTCTACTCTCTCCTCCTCCGTGGTCAGCTTCTTGACTGAACATCGTGGCAAGTTTACCACCTAGTTACCTCAAAGAAAAAGTAAGTGCTTTCCTTCTCTTGGTTAAGCCTAGGAAAACAGAACCCAGTAAGTACTGCAGTAGTGTGCCAACAGAGTAGGCCGTTTGTAGGTGCTTCTGGACGCAACGAGGGGGTGACAGTCAGCAGATTCCAATTTAGGAGCTGAGGATGGCAGGGGGACATCACAGTGCTCCAGGATGCTAGGATGAGTGTCATGTCAACTTCCTTTTATATATTTGTTCCCCTGAGACTGAGGTCT